CGGCCTGTGTGTCGAGGTTTCTGGCAATTACGTGTCAGTGAATGGTAAAAATGTGTTATCTGCACAACCAGTGAGGTTTAGCTACTTCATGTTTTTGTCTCCATGTAGACGGGAGTACGAGCAAAGTCGGGGCCGGAGCAAACCTCGCAGCCGCAGTCCCGACCGGAGTCGGGCCAGGAGTCTTGGAAGGAGCAAGAGCCGTCCCCGTAGCCAGAGCCGCAGTCCGAAACGGAGCCGGGCCAAGAGCCGGGGCCGAAGCCGCAGTCCGGACCGGAGCAGGGCTAAGAGCCAGAGCCGCAGTCCAGACCGGAGCAGGGCCAAGAGCAGGGCCAAGAGCCAGAGCCGCAGTCCAGACCGGAGCAGGGCCAAGAGTCGGGGCCGCAGCAAGAGTCGCCCCCGCAGCAGGTCTAAATCTAGGCCCAGATCCAGGTCTCGATCCAGAGGAAGGAGTCAAGGACAAAGTTACAGCAAAGGGACGAGCTATGCTCGCAGTAAGAGCCGTCAGAGGAGCCGCAGTCGCAGTGCAAGCACCAGCTCGAGCTCAAGCAGCCGCAGCAGAGGTGATGCTACAGATTTGAATAAAGGGTTTAAGGAGCTAGAAATGGCTCGCCGCAGGAAGGAACTTGAGGAGCTGCTCACGTTACCAACAAAGTCCATCCTGAAGAAACGCAGCTCCGAGGACTCGCCATCCGTCAGGGTAAGTTTGCAGACAGTGTTTTAGTCTGTGTTTCGATACATGCTTCTGTTAGCCAAAAAGCAGAGATGACCACGGTGGAGTTCCTCAAAATGACCATCATAGTATTTCTGTTACAGAGCACGGACTCTCCTCAAACTCAGGATGGCTCCATGTCCCGACTGGCCGATCAGCTCCTGCAGGCCGTCAAAGGCGCTGACCCTCGCATGGTGGCGTCCATGCTTGCGGAGCTGCGGTCTGATCCACAGATGGCTCGACGTGCTGGCCTCGACGCTGAGATCAAAGAAATCCTCAGCCTGCTGGGGATGACAACGCCGGGGCCCAGGACTCAGGAGAAGGTGCTGGACGACATTGACGATGAGGAGAGATTCCTGTATGGCGATTCGGAGGAACCCAAACCACCGCCGGCGCCGGAGCCAGTCTTGACTCACAGTCTAGACTTGTATGGAGACGTAACTGAGGAGGCGCTGTATGGAGACTACCCACAGCAGAAACTGGTCTCTGCTCAGACACACGGATGTACCCTTCAGCCCCCTCACTCCACGGACAGTTATGTGAGCCGGCCCACCATCAGCCCCGACCACAACACCACGGCCCAGGTGTCGAACCCCGCTCCCCCACCGGGGAACGAGCCCCTGGAGGAGAGCGAGCGCCAGGCACTAGAAGAGTACGAGAAGATCCAGGATCTGCTTAAAACCATCGGTCTGGACCTCGGAGTGGCCGAAATTACCAAGATGGCTGCCAGGACCAAAGAGCGTCTCCACGGGAAGAAACCCCCTACAAAGACGCCCACGCGGCGCAGACGGTACTCCTCCGACAGCTCTGATGGCAGCCGGCAGGGCCGTAGGTCACGAAGCCACAGTGGCAGCTCTAGCAGCACCAGCCGGAGCCGGAGCCACGGACGCGGTGCCACTGGCGCCGGCTGGAGCAGCGACGAGGATGACCGCAGGAAGAGCTCAGCTCCGCTCAAATCTCACCAAGACCATGACATTAAAGAGGAGAAAGGCGAGTGGAGCAACACGGCAGCGCCGCCCTGTCAGACTCCAGAGCCAAGCTGCCACCCCCCTCATCCAGGTGTACCCATCCCCACCTACCCCCCCGTGCAGGTCCCCGCCATGATGCACCCCAGCTACCCTCCACCTGTGTACAGTCAGTATGGGAATTACTTGCCCTTCGTACCCCAGCAGTGGCCCCCCACATATCCACCCCCAAACATGAGGATGCCGCCTCCTACAGTTGCTGAGGAGTACCCCCCCACACTGCCCTACAAACAGGCTTATACCCCTGAGCCAGGGGTCAAAGGTCAGTCTCCTTTTAACGAACTCTTATCGCATTTAGTCTGAGCATGACGATTAATTGCGGGATGTTTTCCTCACTGCTAACCAGGTGGCTCCGCCCCTTCCTCTTGTGGATCCTTGCGTGTAGGTTGCTGTAGTGTTTGTCCCCTCACTTCTCCCCCTGCCACCTCTGCAAAACAGCATGTAGGGGAATAAAATAAACTTCATGTTTTATTTAGTCAGACCTGAAAGCAGTGACTGAACCTGTAAGCTAGCTAGTTCTTCTTCTCTACCGTCAGGCCAGTGGAGTCGCCCCCTACTGGACAGTAAAAAAATGCAGCTTTAAGAAGCTACTTCTGTTTTTATATATAGTTTGTTTGCTTCAGAGTACTTAGCCATTTTTATTCGCTGTGTTATTTAATAGGTTGAGAAGGCTGAAATGTGCACTACACAAATGTTTGCACGTAGAAACGAGTCATTAAGTCATAAACATTCAGGGAGTTTTAAAATGTGTTGTTACTATTTTTACCCGCCTCCATAATGAGTGTAACACATGGTTGGCCACAGTTGAATCCAGTGTACAGAACTGGCGAGCGCTGGAAGAATAAACTGGCTTCATCGACCAGCGAGAGCAGGATGAGCAGCTGTGGGTCAGTCGGTGTAAATAAATGTGTCTGTCCATCCTCAGGTTTGGTGAAGAGCTCCACCCAACACGCAGAGAAGGGGAGCGCCAAAGCTGCGAGAGTGTCTGAGGAGCAGAACAACGAGAGCCAGAAACAGAAGGTCAGCCTCCATCGCTTCTTCCCACGTCTTTGCATTTACGTCAGAAGGAAGTTTATGCCTCCACATCCTTTGGCTCCACCTGAAAAACTAAGATGTGGATCATTCCAAGAAGGAAAGATGTAGATTTGGGTGGAGCCTCTGACTCACTGATTCAGCTGATTGGATGTTCACACCTGTGACTGTGTTGGTTTGTTCAGGTTCTGGAAGAGAGAGAGAAGCTGAAGCAGGAGCGAGAGATCAGGATGAAGAAGAAGGAGTATCTGATGAAGGAGCTGGAGAGACTCAGGAAGCAGCAAGGTGTGTTACTGTGTTACAGGTGATTTATGCTCCGCCCACGCAGCAATCCCAGCCAGCATGTGGTGGGACGTCCTATAAAGCTGCTGTTGGTTTTAAGTTTATTAATGACGTATAAAATCAGACACTTTTATCAGCTGAAGTGAGACTGGAGATCCTCAGGGATCGCCTCTGGGACTTTATTTGTTTTTATTCAACATGTGCACAGCTGTGTACAGCTGATCATTTCAGAAACCTGCCGCTGTAGAAAGTTTCATTTGGTGTTTGTTGTTTTAGCTGTGACATGAAAACATGGAGCTGCAGGAGACGCCTCCTCGATGGAACGTCACTGATGGCGCTTTGACACTTGCCGTGCAATGTTTTTCAGGTGAGCTGCTGAGGAAGAAGCGCCGGGAGAAGGATGGCCACAAGGACCCTCTGCTGCAGGAGATCAGCCACCTGCAGGAGGAGGTCATGGCCCAGATCTCCAACCTCCGCAAGGAGCACGAGGCTGCCGAGAAGAAACGCAGCGAGATCGAGAAAGTGGCACTCATCCTTGGCCTGAACCCGTCGGACCGACCCCGCAGGATCAGCAAACCGCCTGAGGTCCAGAAGGCTGAGCAGCAGACTCCACCACAGAAGAAGAAACGTGAGGCGGAAAGGAGCCCAGAAGGCCAGCCGGCGGCCAGCGGCCCCATGATGAAGGTACACTCACCTGCAGAGGAGGTAACAGGAAGTGATATCGGAGTTAGAAAGCATAGCTAGGGTCAGTTATTGATCAGTTTACTCAGACGAGATGTGTCGAGAAGCACCGAGAACATGTTCCTTTATTCACTCAGTGAGGTTCACCTGCAGACCACTTTGTCCTCTAGAGCTGTGATTTTGAATTCAATGCTTTTATTTCGGAAGATTTTACTTTGTGCTTGTAGTTTTGTCTGCCTCATCATCACGTCAGCAGTGAAACTAGTTTCACTGAACATTAGTTGTTTTAATGGTTTTATATAAAAATATAAGAAGTTTAAATGTTTCATGACAAGATTCTGCGATCTTGTCGCGTTAGACTGGAAATAGATAGCTCAGAGAAATGAAATGTTTTTAAAGCTTTGCTAACAAACAAGAAGTTTATCGGACATGTAAAGGATTTGTATAATCGCTGGGTGGAGCTAAAGCCTCACTACTGTCTCATGTAAATTAGTTTAATCCATTCATCATCATAGAAATGTCTTTGTACTTTTACTACCGTTTGTTTTCGTTACATTGAGTGTGAGAGCGCGTTTTAGTTTAGAGTGATGTAGTTTAGAGCACAGCTCAGCAAGCTGTGAAACATGGAAACAGGAAGTCAAAAAAGTATTTCTAGAAAATAAAATATTATTTGAATTCCATAAAGGATTAGCATATGGGCTCAAACAGTGGTCATAAATATTTTGTGCTTGTAAATCAGTTTTGTATGTGTAAAAAGAATTTGTGTGTGGACTTAGCCAAAAAGTGTGAAACTCTGCTCTCAAGTTTCAAGTTACAAGTACAAATTTTGACCCTATTTTTCTTCCTTTCAGCTGATTGGTCAGTGTCATGTCAATCACAAATTTATCTATCTAGTTTCACATGTATTTTTTGGCTAAGTCCACACACAAATCTTTTTTACACACACACACAAATCCTGGTTTACAAGCACAAAATATTTATGACCACAATCGGAGCCCATATTAGCAAGCTAACGTACCTCTGCAAACGTGTCCACAGACCGTTTAGGAGGATTCGCGTGTGCTTGTGTCGGGCTTGAATGCGCTCTCCTCTCATTCTGTGTGTTTGTTGTGACATCACTGGACTGTCATGGCCGCCAACATTTATACCTGTGCATGGCGAAGCTCCACCAGTCTGGAGTAGTTGGAGGTGGAGTTTCTGTCTTTGAGGTGATTCAATTCAGCTTTATTTACACAGCGCCAAATTACAACAGTCACCTCAAAGCGCTTTATACTGTAAGGTCGACCCTACAATAACACAGAGAAAACCCAACAGTCCTGTGACCGCCTACGAGCGAGCGCTTTGGCGACAGTGGGAAGGCCGCACTGAGTCGTAGTCGTTGCAGACTGTGATGATAAATGTTTCGGTCACAGCGTACATTTCAGAAGCGTTTGCAGCTTGCCTCATCAGTGATTGGTTGTTGAAGTTGTGACAGCCAACTGAGCCAGGTTACACAAATTGATGATGATCAGTAACTGCTCGCTGATCATTTGGTGCACTTACGCAGCGCTGTTGGTTTGAACAGCGCCCCATCCTCGTCCAGATATATCCAACGTCAGGCAAAAAAGCAGCACATACGTGTGAATCTGCACATGGTCTCAGCTCATTAATGTGCCGAAAGTCCTCCATCAGCACCCCAACAGACCGTGGCGGTGTCCTGGGCTGCTGATGGGTTGAACAGACATTTGAATGTTTGCTGTGAGTAATTATGTGTTTCCTTGAAACCCTCCTCGAGTAGTTAAACGTCAGTTTATTCTAATCCGTTTATTAAAACACGTGGGTCGGGTGCTAGTAGAGAAATCAACATGAATCAGCTCCTGGCTCATGTTTACAGCTGCTGCTCGGCTGGTTTGGCCGTCACACGCTGGCTTCAGCCTCAGGAAGGTGTGACGCTACCAAGGCGTGGATCCTGGACGAGTCAGATCCAGATTTTAGATTGCGTTAATGAAAACGACGCTGCTGAGCGGAGGGTTATAGACTGAATTTAGACTGTTGAGTTTCATTGTGACCGCTGCAAGTTTGTGCTCAAGCTGAAATTTTGCGTAAGAAGTTACTGCCGCTATAAAAACATCTGAGGGATACACGTTGACATCTTCAATGCAGAGTCACACAAGGTAAGAAACTCTTTAAAAGGAGCTCCTGTTTTTGCTCTGAATGCAGGCTGTCGCTCTTCTCCCCGCCATCTTGACTCTCCATCATTTTTCTTTCTTTCTTCTTGTTTAGCAGACTTCCGTGACTCTGTCGCCTTCGAAGGCGTCCCTGCACACGCCGCCCGACGCCACTGCAGCTCCAGCTCCGCCCCCCGAGCCCTTTGAATACTATGACGCTGGAAACCACTGGTGCAAAAACTGTAACGCTACATGTGGTTCCATGTTTGATTTTTTCACACACTTGCACAGCAAAACGCACCTAAAGGTTGGTTTTCACTTTAAAGCATCATCGCCCACATTGTCTGAAATTCTCCCTCTTTGATATTCAGTTGATGTTCATACCTCGGCGGGCTCCTCGTGTTTGCTCTGTTACATTTCATGTTGTTCTCCGTCCCTCAGACTCTGGACCCGTATGACCGACCCTGGGCTTCCACTCCGAGCAAAATCAAAAAGAACCAGCTGCCAGACGAGAAGCTGACTAAACCCGCTAAAGGTACTTGTGCTGCACCTTCAGAGGATCCTGCAGACTTATCACAGTCTGTTTTTTGAACCACTGAATTTTGTTAGCCGTATTTTGGTTCCAGGTGGAGCTCAGTGTGGATCTCTGCTGCCATTTCTGTCTCTTAATGAAAACAGTGATAATGAAGTGATTCGCATCGAAGCATAGCGGAGACGCCTGTCCGCACCTCCAGTGCTGATTCGTTTCCTTTTCATGCCTCACATGGCTCTGAAAGCTGCTGAAAATGCAACAACAGTTGGTAAAGTGCGCTAAGTTCTTGGTGCAGGTGTGTCCGCATCACCCCAAAAACAGCTCGACTGCATCTCCTGCAGGCACCCGGTTATTGCTGAGGAGCTGCAGCATTTTTCCATCTTTCACTGCTCTTAAATAACCACTCAACTCTTTACCATCTGTTTTCCAAAAAAGTCAGCACCCCGTCTCTTTAACCTTCTCCTTTTTTGACAGGTACTGGAAATGGACACTTCCATAAGGTAAACATGATTGGTAGCTCATTTATCCTCCGTTTGAGGGTTGAAAATGTTGTGTGTCGCGCTGCAGGTTCGGAGTTCCTGGTACCCGTCAGAGGATTCTTCTGCCTGCTGTGCAGAGAGTTTTATGGCGACGGCATCTGTGCAGAAGAGCATGTCACCACGCACGCTCACAACGAGAAGTATAAGGTTTGGAACTCAATGACTTAAGCATTGCCAAACATACAGAGATCTGCGCCACCGAAACCTTTAAAGGTGGTCAGGTCTGCCTTTCCTTTTCTTGATATAGATAAAGGATAGATATAAATAAAGCAACACTTCACACATCGGATCTCAGAGGATCCCTCCCCATCCTGGGAATCTGGACAGCCACATGGTTTAATGCACAGGCGTCGAACTCCAGGCCTCGAGGGCCGGTGTCCTGCAGGTTTTAGATGTGTCCTTGATCCAACACAGCTGATTTAAATGGTTAATTTACCTCCTTAATGTGTCTTGAAGTTCTACAGAGGTCTGGTAATGAACTAATAGTTTGATTCAGGTGTGTTGACCCAGGGTGAGATCTAAAACCTGCAGGACACCGGCCCTCGATGCCTGGAGTTCGACAACCCTGGTTTAATGGAAGAGAAAATTATGAACAACTGAATTCAAAGACGTCAAAGGCTCGTTCATTATGCTGAAATTTCATTGCAGCACCTAAACATGCTCCTCAGTTCTCATCCTGTACAAAGGAGCAGACATCAGTTCTGCTGTTGGGCTGAGGGGCATCTATGTCCAGCTCAGAGTAACTGCCTGTCACCTGGAATTTTCCCCATGCTCTAAAAAGTGTTGCTTTGAATTATTTGAGCAGTGTGTTTCTGGGGTTTGATCAATTCTGATGTGTAGATTGTAAGATTACATGTTTATATGTCAAGTGACCAAAGTGGAATTCAATATATATTCTTGACTCTTCCTCACCAGAAACAAATGTATGAGAACCCACTGTACGAGCAGAGGCGGAACCTGGACCGCCAGGCGGGACTGGCCTTAGAGGCGAGTGGAAAGAAACGCAAACACGACGACGATGAGAAAGGCAGCAAAGAGGAAAAGTCCAAACACAAAAAAGAGAAAAAGGAAAAGGAGAAAAAGAAAGAAGAGAATGCTTCAAAGGAGGACAAGTCCAAAATTAAAAAGGAGGAAGACGAGGATAAGCTGAAGCCAAGCAAAAAGGACGATTTTAAGAATGCCAAGAGCCCTGAAAAAGAGTGGCCTTATTACAGCAAGAAAAACAATGATGAAAAGTACAACTACAGCAAGAAGGATGACAAGTACCATTACAGCCGAGAGGAAGACGAGAGGGACAGCCGGCACAGATACAGCAGGGATGAGGAATATCGGTACCATTACCGCACCGATGCTAATGACCGTCCCAAATATGGTTCAAAAGATGATGGGGACAAATTTAAAGGTGGCAAATATTCAGATGCCAGATCCAAATATGAGAAAGAGCGAGATGAATGCAAACCTAAAACTGAGAGGGAAGGTTTTAAAACGTTTGAGCCAGAGAAGCCGGCAGTCAGCAACCCCGAACCACTACCAAAACCCTACGAACCGCCCAAAATTCTTTGTGGCCCCAGTCCGGCCATGAGGGCCAAGCTCCGCAAGCAGAGCCTGGAGGCCGGCAAACCAACTACAGCAGCAACAACCACATTCGGAAAGTTCATTTGGAAGAAGAAGGAGAACATGCTTGCAAAGGAGGCGGAGAAAGTTGCTGCAGAATTCATCAAAGAGGATGAAGCCGCTGCCAAGTCACCCTCGGTGGAAGACTCTTTTGCAAAGTCAGTAGCTGTTGCCAAAGAGATCGCAGAGAAGCTGGGAAACAAACCAAGCGTATCTGCTCCCTGGATGTCCAACCGGGGACGGATCCGACCCAACCTCCCTACACCTGCTCTAGGTCTGAGGAAGCCAACCATGATGGGCAGACCTGCATCTCTGAATACCTTTCTGTCCATTAAACCCCAAAACCCTACTTTAGTAGAGTCTCTTCCAACAGAGGGCGCAGTACTCCCGCCTCCTCCCGTGAGTTCCGGAAATGGTCTGCTTCAGACTAAAATGGTCCCATACGTTGATAAACTTGGGCCATTTGAGGGAGTCCTTCCCCTGTTTCAGGTTAGACCTCCACCCGTGGTGCCTGTACCATCTGAATCTACTCTGCCAGTTTCTGAACCAGCCCCAGTCCAGCCAAATCCTGCCCCTGCTGGTGTTACAACTCCTACACCTTCTAAATTTAACCCTGCTCCACCAGTTTTTGAACCTGCCCGAGTCCAGTCAACTCCTGCCCCTGCAGGTCTCACAACTCCTACACCTTCTAAATTTAATCCTGCTCCACCAGTTTTTGAACCTGCCCGAGTCCAGTCAAATCCTACCCCTGCAGGTCTCACAACTCCTACACCTTCTAAAGTTAACCCTGCTCCACCAGTTTCTAAACCTGTCCCAGTCGACTTAAAGTCGGTCCCAGTACAGGCAAAATCTTTAACTTCTTTAGCTACCACAGCTACTCCAGCACAACCAGCCATGATAAAGATTGTGTCTGACGTGGCAGCTCCTGGTGTTCCAGAGGGTGAGCAGACTCGTACGGTGTTTGTCAAACCTCCACCTTTCATGAATAAGTGTGATGGAGCTCAGAAATCGGACAAATTTAGGAGCAACCTGGCTGCAGCCAGAGCCCAAGATTTATTTGGCATCTTCTACAGCAGCATCAGCCAAACGGGCCCCTCCTCCTTCAGCAAACCAGCATCAGATACTAGAGCTGAAGGCAGTAGTGGCAGTAAAAGTCCATTTCCAGTTCCAAAAGCCCTAACACCCCAACCACGGTCCAAACCACACCCAGAATTACAGCCCCAACCTGAGTCTCAGCCACAGTCCCAACTAAAGCCCAAACTGCACCCTGAACCTGGGTCCCAGCCACAGTCCAAACCACAGACACAGCAACACCTTGAACTCCAGCCTGAACCACAGCCCAAGGCACAAGGTCTTACTCAGTTCCCGCTTCCAAATGAACTCCAAAGATCTCCACAACGAAATCCAAATGAGCAGCCACAAAACCCACTGACCCCGACAAACTCAGGCATTCAAATTATGTCTGTCTGGTCCCTGCAGTCTGCCAAAGACTCTGCATCTGAGTTGGCTCTACCTAATGAAAGAAACACGCAAATGGCTCAACCAAGAGTGTCTCCCCCGCTTCAGTGTGAGGTTCAGAGTGCACCTGAAGACCGGTCCGTGACAGCCAAATTGGATCCCCAAGTCTTCCCAGAGAGTCAGTCTTCCAGACTGGAGTCCCAGCTCAAACCATGTCCTGAAAGTCAAATAGAGCCCCAACAGTCAGGATTAAGCAAGGTCAACGAATTCCATCCAGAGACTCATTCTGACACAGAACCTGAACCCAAACCAAAAACGGGTCCTAAAACTAGGGGTAAGAAAACCCCGCCTGCTCCTCGGCCAACCCGGCAAACTCGATCCCAAACAAGATACCAAACCCGACAGCAGCTGAACCAGAACCAGCCTGAACCAGAACCCGAGTCAGCTTCAGGTGACACTGATGCTGCAACTACAGACCCAAAGAACTTGGACATGGTAGATGCTGGCTCTGTGTCGCAGCCAGAGGCTGAGGCGTCCAGTGAGGCGAACCCTCAGATTATGAAGATAACTGCAGAAACACTGGGCTTGCCCTCTGACATGACCTCACTGGACTTTGAATATGATTTTAACTTTGAGTAGGAGGCGACTGGGCTTTGTGACATGGGGGCGGGGCTTATTCTAACCGCTCGGCTATCCAGAAAGGCTGAAGCCACAATGTGTCACATAGTGGAGGGACTTCACCTGTCTAAAGGACCAGATTTATTTAGAGTTTAATTGAATTCCTTTGTTCACTGTTTTCTCCAGAATTTGTTTTTAGGTCTGCTTGATCTCATAGAAACGTGTCCTCACCCAGCAGTCTCCTAGTTTTGCAGCTTTTGCTTACACTTCATAGGTTTCCAATAGACTAAAAGAAGAATTTAAATACTCAAATAAACCTGTAAACTGCTTGATTTATGCCATTTCTGTTTAAATAACACAATAAACCTCCTCTCTTTGATCATATTTGGCAGCTGGGACCGCTGGTGTGTTGCGTTTTGGAGTTGCATTTAAATGAATAATGATTCCACCTAACAGGACTAGTGAGCTCATGTAGATGGCTGCCATCCGATCTACTGAACGAGAAACCTTATAAAATCAGAGTGCTCACCCGGTCTGGTTGTGATTTGTTAGTTTTTAGTTACCGTGTACCTGTTGCTACCTGGCTCTAAATAATAAAAACACAATTGCAGACTTTCAGCCTGACCGTCTTTGAAATACATAAACCAGGCTCGGTCAAGCACAGTCTTTTATTGTAATGACACAACTTGTCCTTTGAGGCAGCAGAGTGTCTGTCTGAGGTGCTCTCTGTTGAAAGTGGAGATGCAGCTGACAATGATGATGATTTGGATGAGTCTGCTAGGACTCCTGTGAGTTTCCGTACTCTGAGGGGAACCTGGAACACTTTAATCCTTGAACCCTTTCACAGTTCATCTGGACCGACCGTTTGTTTCACCTCATTTCTGCTTCTTGTCACAGGAAATGTTGGCCTAGAACCTTTCGGGAAATAAAAGATTCCTGAAGTCAAAAAAAGCCCAACAAAGTTCAGACAGTTCATCCCAGGGACATTTCTTAAATTTTCAAGCCATCGGTGTATTTATTTTATTTTTTTATAGGCGACCTTTCTGTTGTTGATCTCAGACTTGCTGGATGTCTTCCCCTGTGTAAAGGGTCTGAACTGAATCATCTGTCTCAGAATAGATGAATGGCTGGGAAATGCTAGAAACCAACCTGAGACCTGGACCTCAAAGTTCCTGAACCTACAGAGAATATGGCATCTCAGAACACGAGGTGAGGCTTAATTTAGCAACCAGACCGTCAAAAGTTTCTTAGTGTCTGGGAAATATGTCAATGTGAAGATCTGAGTCATGGTCCTTTCACTGGTTCTCAGTGTTTGATCCAGCTAACCCAGATTAACTCACTGTAATGTACTAAATTTGTGGTTAACCTGTTTAAGAACTTGCAGATGAGAGGCTGTAATCCCATTTAGGGTTGTAAAGCAGAGCGTAAATTACTAAGAGGAAATGTTGTTCCCTCATCACCTGTTGAGCGGGCTCGTACAGATGAAACTGATGGTTGGAAGTCTGCTCCTGCAAAGAGCACAGTGTAGTTTTGGGGGTTCACAGTTAAGGCCTCGTTTCATCCTGTTTCGACCTCGGAAAGCTTGTTCTGATGCTCCTGAATGAAACAGTTACTGGAACTGCTTCGGATGTTCTTCCTTCATCGTGTCTGAAACTGCTCGTTCTGTAATGTGTTAAAGTTTTAATAAAAGGAGAAACTCCAGCATGTCTCTGTGGGCTCATTACAAGGGAAAGAAACTTTATTCAATCCAAATCGGGACAAAATCGGAGCACACAGGGGACGCTTGACTCAGGTTTAAGTACTTCTACAGATAAAAGGCAAAAATCTGATTTCTTATTAAAATATTAATAGTTATATATTATTAATAAAGTTCTGAGAGCCTAATGTCTGGATGATTGTAGAGTATAAAGCAGAAGGAAATTCTGACCCAGATTAGTTTGAGATATTCTCTCTTATTTAGTTTGTATTTGAAGGTTTGATGAATAATCTGCAGTGATTAAGAAACCTTCCAGAGATTCCTGCAGCCAGAGTTGGGTCGACTCTAGAAGTGTCAAATCTGAGAACCGCGCAGTGGCGTCCAGGCCGAGGTAATCGGGGACAAGTCCAAATACTCAAGCCAATCATACGATTATTAAACTGCAGTTTGTGACCCAACAGGGCTCACCTGTCTCAGGTAAAGTCTCTGATTGAGCCTGTCTCCATGTTGGGGGGCATCTACAGTGTTGGGGAGTAATGGAATACAAAATATGAGTAACTGTATTCTGTTACAGTTACCATTTAAATAGGTGATAATTAGAATGCAGTTACTTTGTTAAAATAAATGGATTACATAGTGGTTGTTTCCTTTTTCAAGTGTTAGGCTGTGCCCTGTGGAACGCCAGGACGGCCATAATGAATTAATTAAATACACCGTTAAATAATTAATTAAAGATGGCAATAATTAATTAAAAATGTTTTTGACACATTTAATTAATTATTGACACATTTAACTAATTATTTATTTCACATTTTAATTAGTTATTGACACATTTAAATAATTATTTAATGGTGTATTTAATTAATTATTTTTGGCACAGTTGACTCCTTCAGGTCTCACCAGGTCTCACCCATTTTATCTGTCAACCTCACCCATCAAACTCAAGGGGCGGGGCTAACGCTGATCGAGTGAAAACCATTGCTTTGGCCTGGTGGCCATTGTTTTTAGCGCACAACAACCAGCATGTGGAAACTAACAGAACCTGTTTGTGTGTCACCAAATACAGTTTTAATATTTTTTAGCGAGAATGTAGCGCGTTAATCTTCATGTGTCTGGTCGGTTTGTCAAGATACAGCCTCTTTGCAAAAGTGCTTCGATGATTTCGGAGATGTCTGCCCAGTCTCACGGCAAAGCGTGGATAGACCCGCTCGCCTCGCAAGCAATCGAGCTGTTATTACCGCCGACGAAGCGCAGGCTGCAGGCTAATAACCCCCGCTGACACTGACTTCTTTTACTGAGGTTATATTTATCGGGGTTTTATTTCCTGATGTTCGTATGTGTCCTGCGTGTTTCACTCGCCAATTCTGAATTATAACTAACATTAAAAACATGTTTAAGGAGGAGAGAGAGCAAATAAATCTGATTAACAGCTGATCTTCGGGCCTTTGTTCAGTAATCAGCGTGACCTGCGTATAAACGCATAAAAGAGATAACGTTGGTGTTTCCGTCATGTAGTAACTGCTTTAACTGTACAAAGGTTGTTCGACACTATGACACACATACAGACTTCATGATGTTCGGCTAATATTTTTATTGTGAATATTAATCATGAGGGTAAACGGACCTGTACACCACAGAGCGAGGTCAGCATGTCCACGATATCTTCAGCTCTCTGAGGTAACACAGAGTTTCCCAGCTGACTAACGGTCATCTAAGAATATGTCACGGCTCATATCAATATGATTTTACAGAAAAGCATCCTTATTACTGCCAACTATTCCAGAGACGTGAAAATCTACAGCATAAAGAACAAAAAATATAGCAGTCTAACAACACTGTAACAGAGATGAACCGTTTGATCTGCGTCAGTTTGTCGCAGATCAAAGTGGAATGAAAGTGATTGGTTGAACAAGTGTTCATGATCTGTGTTTTCTGCATTTTCATCAGCGTTTAACCCA